CCACCTTTCTCAGCATGCTCTCCAAGTCAGTTACAACTTCGACATGTTGCACCCCCTGGCTGGAGAGCCATTCTCAAACTAGATGCTGTGGTATTTTATGACAGGCTTTGTTGCACTATGCGATGCCCATTCACATTTGCTATGAACTCCCACACACTTCATCTGCCTAGGATAACACTTCAAAAGTGAGAATCAAGCAGGAACAAATCAGAGAAACCATGTTCAACTGTAAAACACATTTATATTAGGGCACCCCTGCAGTCCTATGTAGGGGTCAGCAACACTAGCTATTATACATTCAGCAGTAAGAATGTCCTGTATTTGTCTACTACAATGAAAGCTTTTCCAGACCAGAAGTTCATCTTCTATGACTCAACCTTCAGTGGAGGAAAGGAAATCAACCAGTTTTGAGCCAAGATGTCCTCCCCCCCCCCCCACCCATAAGGCAGCTGACTCTACATCCTAGCCACATTCACATCAATCTGTATTTATCTTTTCTATAGGATTGTGGTCTCCCTTTGTTTCTTTGGCCCTAAGGGCTCTGGTGCATTTTTTTTTCTTTTTTTTTTTTTCCATCGAACACCGGCTGTGAATTCCAGTGGTAGGTCAGGTAATCGTCCGCTTGGACTTTTGGCTTTCACCTGGACCTGATTTTTGCGTGTACAACCGTTTTTCATTTCCCTGCCTCATGGGCAGCTGTACGCCGACTTCGAAGGAAGACGTCAGGCCTATTTCTAGGGTGACTGTGGCCATTGTTTTGTGTGGGTCGAGACGTTTGCCTGATTTGTGTGGTGTCCACATTGTCTCCTTTGCCGCAGGTATTGCCCCCGGAGTACCCCTTTGGGTCAGCCCCCTGTGGAGCAGTTAGCCCTCAAGGGAAGGCAGGGGCAGATCATGGGCATTCCCCGCCATCCAAGGAGGCATCCATGTATGCAGAGCCGGCACATGGCGCTCTGGTTCTGGGCTCACCCAAGGAATCGTCACGTCCTGCACATGCCTGCTTAACCTCACAACCGTATCAGGCCTCCCGCTCGACAGGGGCTGCGCCCTCTGGAAGTCAGCGGGGAGCAGCCCGTGGGTTTTGGACTTTTGTGACCACACAGATAGGTACATTCTTTTTTTTTTCTTCGCACGTTAGATTTCTTTGACGAGCCGTTAGCCCGACAGAATTTTACATCCTGCTCCAGGCATATCGTATTAGTTTTGTCCCAACACTCGGGCGAGTGGGGTCCTTTGGGTGTGGACATTCGGTCTTTTTCAGTTCAATACAAATTTTGAGGCAGATTTTGATCCGTATGATCTAGTTTTGTCGGACATTCAGGCTTAGCCATCCCGATGGATGGTTGTTTCTGTTAGGGTGTACCACAGCGCGGTGACGACGACACTGAGGGTTAACCGAGGATGTACATGAATGGCCAGCCTATGGATGGTTGCTGTTGTGGTGTACCCCAGCGCGGTGACGACGACACTGATTTGGTTACCGAGGATGTACATGAATGGCCAGCCTATGGATGGTTGCTGTTGTGGTGTACCCCAGCGCGGTGACGACGACACTGAGGGTTAACAGAGGATGTGCAGTGAACAATGTTCTCTTTACTCCGCAGTCTTTTAACCAAGGGTTGTAATTTTGGCTGTACGTTTGGCAGACCTACTCATGTTCCTAATGAGTTATAATAACATTTTTCACCCAAGCGTTTGGGGGCGGGCTGATGAGAGCCACACGGACACATCACCTCTGGGGGCCGCCAAACTCCGAGATCCCCTGACAGCTCTGTTAATGCTCATTTGAGACCTTTATCCGTGGCGCACGACGAGGACGTGCTGCCGGGGTCTTGCGTGAGGTTCCGTACAACCAGGATATTAAAGGACTGGCGCCCGAGTGACGTACGGAGTATCTCCTTATACACATCATGTTGGACTTAACTTCCCCTCACGCCTGTGACATAAATCACCGCGCCACTCTGGTGCATTAACATCTGAATTATATTATCAAATTCCCCCATGTGGGTTCCAGGGCCCCATTGTAGGGAAAACAAGTCTAGACCCACTGCCTCCCCAAAAAGCATGTTGTAAGAGTCGACTAATTGAGGGCTTCCTTTGAAGACGGAGTGCATCTGCCTGAGGACCAGCAATCTACATACAAATAAGTCAGATCTGTAAAACAGATGCACACGCAAAACTCAGGTCCTGGAACAAAGCCAAAGTCCAGAAATGGATGAACAACCAGGTCTTTCCACTGCAGTTTATAGCCGGTGAACACAAACAACAACATTATCAAATATTCTCAACATGTGTCTCAGCCAGTGTGCTTCATGTCTTGATAAACTTGAATTCATTTAGTTCTCTCCCAGTGACCGTGTTATAAAATCCACTCTTGTCTGCATAAGCAACAGTAATTGAATGTTTCTAGTTTTAACTTTTGTATTCAGTCTCCATCTCTCTGCATCGCACAATAACACCTGTTTTATGTTACAGTTAAGTTTTGTAAGCATAATACTAAAGTTAATTTCTGTTGACGTCCACAGATTTCCTGAGTGCTATCAAAAAAGTAATGCCGTCTATTGTTTTTGTGTCAGTGTGTCATTTTTAAATTTAGCAGGATTCCTCAAACACTCTTCGGCACTGACTAGCATTACCAACTGCTTTCAGTAACAGGCGGTATCACTGTAATGGTTTTTAAATGGCTTCTAAAGATTTTCAGTTAAAACAAAGTAATGGAACAGAATTCCTCAATGCTGGAGGTGAGACCTAAGTTCGCATTTTGAAGAATGTTTATAGGGATTCAACAGTGGATGTCAGCATTGCCAGGTATATCGTTATGATGAAACTGAAGTAAGTCAATCCTCAGTGACTGATACAACACGGACTGACAGTTCATTTATCGTAGTTACTCCATACAACATTTATCAAGTAGATGACATCATTCATGAAGACCAATGACCAGCGTTACCTCACAGTCAGCACGAATGACATCCTCAACTCGATAAAGGTTGTGTGGAGTAACTGTGGTAGATGGACGCCCAGTCCATTTTGCATCAGCTATTGGAGACTGACTTACTTCAGCCTAATCATAACAATGTACCCAGCGTCAGACAGTGCTAACCTCCACTGCTGAACCTTCATAAATATGCTTCAAACATTCGTGGATGCGAACTGGGGTCTTGCTTTCAGCATTGAGGAATTCTATGACACTACGCTAAACATCTTTAAAAGCCATTTCAAAACCGATACAGTGCTGCCATCTGTAACTAAAACAGGTTGGCAATGCAGAAGAGTGACTGTGGAATGCTGCAAAATTTACAAATTGCACAAAGATACAGTATTTACATAGAAAAAAAAAAGAAAGCATTACTTTCTGACCACCCCTCATATTTCTATTTGTTCTTATATTTGTGCCTATAAATCGGCCTAAATAGGTGATCAGAACTTTGGCAGCTTCAAATTACTGAATTATAAAAATACAAAAATGTTCACAGAGCTTATAATTCTGAGTCCAACACATTTCTAAACTGTGCATCTCAAAAGACAGAATGACACTTTAAATGTTCAATCACCAGATGAATGCATGTATACGAAATGTTCAATCACCAGATAAATGCATGTATACTAAATGTTCAATCACCAGATAAATGCATGTATACTAAATGTTCAATCACCTGATGAATGCATGTATATGAAATGTTCAATCACCTGATGAATGCATGTATACGAAATCGAAATATTCAATCACCAGATGAATGCATGGATACTAAATGTTCAATCACCTGATGAATGCATGGATACTAAATGTTCAATCACCTGATGAATGCATGTATACGAAATGTTCAATCACCTGATGAATGCATGGATACTAAATGTTAAATCACCTGATGAATGCATGGATACTAAATGTTCAATCACCTGATGAATGCATGGATACTAAATGTTCAATCACCTGATGAATGCATGTATATGAAATGTTCAATCACCTGATGAATGTTACAATCCGACAACACTGATGAATACTGATACTAATGTTCAATCACCATGTTACGTATAGGAATGTTCAATCACCTGATGAATACATGGATACTAAATGTTCAATCACCTGATGAATGCATGTATACGAAATGTTCAATCACCAGATGAATACATGGATACTAAATGTTCAATCACCTGATGAATGCAAGGATACTAAATGTTCAATCACCTGATGAATGCATGGATACTAAATGTTCAATCACCTGATGAATGCATGGATACTAAATGTTCAATCACCTGATGAATGCATGGATACTAAATGTTCAATCACCTGATTAATGCATGGATACTAAATGTTCAATCACCTGATGAATGCATGTATACGAAATGTTCAATCACCTGATGAATGCATGTATACGAAATGTTCAATCACCTGATGAATACATGGATACTAAATGTTCAATCACCTGATGAATGCATGTATACGAAATGTTCAATCACCAGATGAATACATGGATACTAAATGTTCAATCACCTGATGAATGCATGGATACTAAATGTTCAATCACCTGATGAATGCATGGATACTAAATGTTCAATCACCTGATGAATGCATGGATACTAAATGTTCAATCACCTGATGAATGCAGATACTAAACATGCATGGTAAAATGTTCAATCACCTGATTAATGCATGGATACTAAATGTTCAATCACCTGATGAATGCATGTATACGAAATGTTCAATCACCTGATGAATGCATGGATACTAAATGTTCAATCACCTGATGAATGCATGGATACTAAATGTTCAATCACCTGATGAAAGCATGAATAATGACTACAGAAATATATTTTACATACAACACAGAACATAATTTGTACATGACCAGCATACAATCCGGATCTCATAACAGTTACTATGTGGTTATTTCTAGTAAGAGTGTAACAGAACACAATTTCTGTTCATTCAGTGGAATTAGACCAGCATTGCCTGAAACAACAGCATGACAAGTTCACGCAAAGAATGACTCTGGCTGTCAGCCATAAGATGACTCCAGCTGTTTTTGCTGTAGAAGTCTAATCTGCAACTTGACACTCAGACAAATCATTCTCTCTTCATGTATTTTCTGGCACAGGTCAGCATTGCTCATCTGAAAACATAGTTCGAACATTATTGTGAAACTCTTCAACTATACTTCATGGCATCTTAAAAACCAATCTCAATGCACACATATCACCCCATAAGCACTCCAGTCAACTCTTATAGATTATACAGGGGGGGGGTCAGTACAGTACACAAACTCTACAGTAATGGTAAAGATCATAAGATATGTGTGCTAGATTCATACATTTTATAATGTTCTGGTGTAAGGAATTTTATGATTTTGAAATTCAGCCTTCAGTAATAGTCTGTTCAGTATACTGGTTACAAATCACTAAAAGAACATTTGTTTATCATCCTGTTTCAATGGTCTCAAGGGTTCCCCCAAGATCTGTGTCTAAGTATCAATGAACCTGACCAGTCATGTCTTTTCAACACTGTCACCCTGAAAAAACAATCTAGTAACTTCTGGCTGTGACATAGTTCTGCAAATACGGATAAGTTGACACATCTGCTGTGGCATGTTTTCCTAAAGCGTAATTGAAACTCCACTGGTTCTATGTGTGCCTGTACAGGGTGTAATGAATAAAGTAACTAACAATAGCATTTAGGGGAAGTTACTCAAGACCACAATGGCTTTTTTTTTTTTAAACCAAGTTGACATCAAATTTTCCCATAAGCGTTGGCACTCAGGTCATGGGTCACAACATGACTACCTGATACATATTTTTTTCAAGGCCTCAGGAAATGTACTTCATTTAATGTGTACTCTTAAAATTTATTGACTACCTCTTTATAAATCTTTATACACCCCCCACCCCCTTTTTTTCCCCCCTTCCCAAAAAATTAATCCTTTGGCGTGCTCATCATCACAGTAAGTGCTACGGTCGGCATTGATAACATCCCTTCTGTCCAGTACTGGACCTGCCATAGCAACCGCAGTATCAGCAAGATAATCTGCACGCTCGTTCCCTTGAACACAGACCTGGCACAAAGATAAAGGTTAGAGCAGCCATTCGTGAAGTGCTTAGTGTTGTAATCCATTCTTGTCTGATAAAACCAGCTTGGATTTTTTAAAGCATATTCAGGAAGTCACTAAGTATGCACACCCGTGTGAACGATTGAGTACGAAGCCATGCTAATGCCCATGTTACACTTCACTTGCCCCGAATTACTGACCCATCTGTGTAAACTAAAGCATCACCTTCATCTGTGTTTTCGTCAATCAGTGTTCTGACCAAAGTGTCAACAATGCCAGGAATCTGCTCTCTACAGCTTCCATCAAGCGTGATATGGACTGTAATGTTAATATTTGGAGCAGGAGGCATAATGTCAGTAAGGCGGCAAACATGTTCCATGGAATCCTCAGCCCGACCCATCCGGGATTTGCCTCGCTTGAGCCCAATTTTTTTTTTTTTTAATAATTCCTCATAAAGTGGGTGTCGATGGTCTGACTTCATTTTGAGGAATGCAACAGCCCTGGATAGCTTGATTCTGTTTTCTATTGTGGGGTAATCCAAAAGGTATCGCATGGATTTACAGGAGATGTCTCTAGTGCATCCAAGAATAATATGCATTGCCTCGTTTTCAATTTTTTTCCAGTCTGTTTATCTGTGTGGTGCTGAGTGTCATGATGGCCAGTGCATATTCAATGGTGGAGAGAACTAACGCATGATACATAACATTACAAGTAGCCATTGCTCAAAGTTTGCAGCTCCCATAACTTTAATTGCAGAGAGACCTTTCCTGGTTTTGATTATAATGTGGTCTATGTGTTTTTTTAATTCTCAGCATCTGTCAAATGTTATACCCAGGTATCTCATGGAATAGATCTCTCCACGTCAGTGCCACAGAGTTTTACCATCGGCACTGGTGTTTTGGAAAGGTGACTATTAAATGAGAACCAGGTGACTATTAAATGAGAACCAGGTGACTGTCGCGTTTGATGGATTAATTGTTGCCCCTGAGGTGTTGCACCAGGATGATAGGTGATCCAATTCCTAGTCTGTAGATCCAAAACAATGTCATCTCTTATCCTGCCTTGTCGGTACATGAGGATGTCATCCGCATATGATAGAGTTCTTCCTCTACCACTCAGTTGTTTTTCTGTGATCTTGACTGTGTAGATGCTTAAGAGGATAGGCAACAATGAAGAACCCTGTGGCAAACCAGGGTGTATTGTTATCAGTTCAGAAGATCAACTACCACATTGAAGCATGACCTTCCCCTAAATAGTGTGGCAGATATCAATCAAATGAGATGGGGGGTGGGGGGATGTTGAGTTCCATTAACTGGCACATTAGTTGGTGGAAGGGAACTCTGTTGCATGCATCCTCTAGATCTCTGGCGACTGCACAAATCTAGCTGAAAACCTTCATATGTTTTTTAATGTGCAAAGACATCAGCATTACGCCATGTCTCCGTGTTTTGTCCATATCTTCCAAGTGCTGGGGTAGCATCAGATGTATTTTAATTTTGCTTGCCAGTCTCCTTGCTATTATCTTTTCCACTGTTTTGCCTAGTGTATTCTGCATCATAATGATTCTATAGCCATTTATGTGTGTGTGTGTGGCTTCTTTGCCAGGTTTTTCTAGCAGATGCTGTCATTGTAAGCTTTACATAGGACCTCCATGGATTTTGTGGGCAGTTTGGCAATGTCTTCATAATGAACGCCATCATGGCCAGGAGCAGACTGCTTTGATGTTTTGATTTAATTATTAATTTCAGCGACTGTAATTAGCTGATCAACATTAATGTTTATACCGACCATATCCATGGTAGTCTGACAAGTGGCACTGTCTTGGGTGCAAATTTGTTTGAGGTATCTGTCAAGGAGTGCTCTTCCTTTCTCTTCATCAGACCTGTTCCATGTCTGGTCTTCATTACGGAAGTCTCTGATGCCTCAGTATCTGGAAGCACCTTTTCATAGCCTTGTGTACAGACCAGAATTTTGCAAGAGATCTTTCCTTGCACACTTCATGGCAAAATATTTCACAGGTTGTGTCCTTGGCTTGCTGGTCGGCTGCTTTGAAAGCCGCTGTTGGTTGTGGTCTGCATGTTCTGTATTCTTGCAGTAGGTCTGGAGTGGAGTCAGTGGATTTCATTGCTTTCTGCCAGATCTTTACAGCATGTCTTTTAAGAATCCACGCTGACTCAACCTCATCATTCAACCACAATGGTTGTTGCAGTTCTTTCCTTCGGCCTAAATGGTGATGACTTTTAATTTTCCTAAACTTGCTTATGACCTCATCAGTTTCAGGTGTATTTTTCAAAAGGTTTGAATTTATCCACTGAGGTGTACTGACACTTTTTTTAAAAGGATAACACAGGGACAGTGGTCGCTGCCATGATTACCTAGCACATACCAACCACAGGGTCAACTGAGTGCAGGTGAAACTAAAGCCAAGTCAAGCACACTGTCTTCTTCTTCTGGTTGATGGGCCATCCTGGTGATTCTTCTAGCATTTAGACAGACTAGGTCCATTTCCACCATGGCATTCTTCAAATCCTCCCCTTGCTTGTTTGTTGAACTATTGCCCAGGAGGTAACTTTTAATGTTGAAATCTAAACAGAAAACTATGTTCCCTTCTGTTTGCATTATTTCTTGAAGGCACATCCACTTTTCTCTGTTTACTTTTCCATTACATGCGTTGCATTAACCAGCATGAAAGGCAGTGTTGCACGTATTGCAACAGCTTGTAACTGGAGGCTGGCATCTTGCCATCTGGACATGTCAACTTCATGGGCTTTGATATAGTCTCTGACGAGAATAGCCTGTCCCTGGTGTAGCTTGTTTTGACAGGTGTGAAAACCTGCAAGTTTCAGTGTATTATTGCTGAGAAGTGTTTCTTGCAGAGCAACCACGTTAGCACTATATACTAATTTGTCCAGAATAGGTCGTCTTTGTTTGACACTGGCACAGTTCCAGTAGAGAATTCAAGCATGATTATGACCTATCCTTTCCTTTTTCAGGAGTGATATTTCTGGCCTATCAAATTTTACTTTCTGATTATTTTTTACTGTGTGATCAGTGTTTTCTGCGCTTTCTCCTTTTAATATGAATATCCCTATTACATATCTATGGAGCAAGTGAAAAGTATCTCAGCTCAAACGCACGCACTCCGTCGCATAAGCAAGAATCCTGGAGCGACATTTTAAAATACGACTGGCCGCAGAGGTCATCAATGTTGTTTCTAAGGCCGCTATGATGTCAATCTGCCGCACACACATCAAACACATTAAAAACGCAGCGCATAGTCACCACATCTGCGCTGCTTTTGAGCCAATATTTCAATATGGTCCAAGTGAAATACGCCCGATAAAAAGCAAAGTTATGGCTCATGTGCACAAACACAACAATAGGCAGCCATACTGGAAAAGGAAGTGGAAACATATGTATAAGTCTGTGGAAAGTCATGATGACATACACCACATGACAAGATCTTAAACAAGAAGCACAGTGACATGGGAGATGATGCTGTTGTAGCTCATATAAAAATTTTCTAGTTTGCAGTAGACGCACCATAACTGTTATGCTAAAACTGACATAACAATGCTGTATCCTACTATTTGCTCACAAGTACAAAACACAAGCTATCAGTCCTCACCTCCAATTCCTCATTCTCCTGGATGAGTTGAGACACCAGCTCCTGTAGATCTTCCTCATCCTCACTCTCATCGCTGGAGCTAGAACTAGAGCTGAGATCCTCCAGGTCCGAGTCCTGCCTCAAGTACTGCAGTTCCTGTATTTCCTGATTCAGCCGCTCCATTTCACTTCTCTCTGTGGCAATTTTCTGCTTCAGCTCATCAGCTGCAAACAATCAATGCACTGACATGCAGAAAATGGCAAATATTGCCAACAATCAATTGCTAAACACAATTATCCTTATTGTAAAAGACAAATACTAATGAAGATTATATTAAAACAGCAGAAATTGTCAAAAATGCTAAGAATCATGCAAGAAAGATAGACAGAAAGATAATAATAAGATTAGAATGAGCATTGTGAATGCTGACAAATGATGAAAACAGACAGACAGGTAACTATGCTAGCAGAAAATGACAAACCAATACCAAGGATCATACATGGATACAGAGAGGCATTATAATAGTAGAAAATGGAGAGCTAGCAAACACCAGAGTTCTTCTTCTTCTGCGTTCATCTGAAGATGCAATTGAGTTGTGCCAGTTTACAGCATGGCTGTGACATTAGCACCTTTCAGCCAACACATATGACTTCTGTAGGTATTTGTTGACCGGGTTAGCTTTCCCAGTAAACACCAGATTTTTTGTAAAACAAAATAGAAGGCAGTTGGCAGAAATTTTATAGATGGCTGAACTCTTTCAGTCCAAGGGGGTTTAGCATGAGAAACCTAAAGGGTAGTAAACAGAGAGGTCAAATAGGTGCATCTTGAGTTTAAATGAAAAAAAAAAAGCAGTTAGAATGCAGCTTTTTATTCAGGTGATCCAGGTTGGCAGCCTTAGTAAATTAATGGACATTTTTTTTTCCTATATGCCCTCCCCCCTCCCCCAAAAAAATCTAATGATCGCAGTTTGTGAGGATTGTAGAGGCCATGAGATCTTCAGTCCTCAGGCTCAAGAACCCCTGTCTACCTCCCATAAAAAGTGGCAAATGCGGACAGAACAGACAGTTTTTTCAAACATTGTGAGAACAGACTGTTTCATTACAGTGAATTTCGGACTTCCCCGGTCTTTAATAACCAAAATTTTGGTTGTAACTTAAATTTTAGAAGAAAACTGTTTGCAAATAGTGTTAGTCAAGAGTAACAACAACACCAGGGATTTACATGATCTGTACAATGACAATAACTAGCTCATTAACAGAGAATGTATAAGAGACTGAAATTCTTTGGCGTTTGTGGACATCACACACTGATTTTAAAAAAGAACAGTACTGAAATTCATGGTTTTGTAACGAAAGGGAAGGGGTCGATGAGCATAATATGGATACAGGACATTAAGGATTCAAGGTCAGGACAACTCACAAGACAGGAGAGCCACTGAAGAATCAAGAGAAATTCTGGTGAGTCATGATGATGATGATGATTTAAAAAAAAAAAAACTTATCTGGTTTGCTATCATCATAACTGCCGTTCCTTTTTTTTTTGTTTTTTTCAATATTACTGTTAAGTTTAACAATTCATACAATAGTAAAATCAGCAAACAAGGAGGCAGAACAACATATACAATGCCAGCTTGCAGTAACAACATAGCTCTGCCCAAAAGTAACACATTATAATAAATAGGAAGACATCAAAATTAAAACACAGTATAAAAACGACAAAGACACCAAAAAATAACACAGTATAATACACATGAAGACACCAAACAAAAATCCCAGTATAATAAATATAAAGACACCAACAATAACACAGTATAATAAATATAAAGACACCAACAATAACACAGTATAATAAATATAAAGACACCAACAATAACACAGTATAATAAATATAAGGACACCAACAATAACACAGTATAATAAATATAAAGACACCAACAATAACACAGTATAATAAATATAAAGACACCAACAATAACACAGTATAATAAATATAAGGACACCAACAATAACACAGTATAATAAATATAAGGACACCAACAATAACACAGTATAATAAATATAAGGACACCAACAATAACACAGTATAATAAATATAAGGACACCAACAATAACACAGTATAATAAATATGAAGACACCCACACACAAAAATCACAGTATAATAAATATGAAGACACCCACACACAAAAATCACAGTATAATAAATATGAAGACACCCACACACAAAAATCACAGTATAATAAATATGAAGACACCCACACACAAAAATCACAGTATAATAAATATGAAGACACCCACCACACAAAAATCACAGTATAATAAATATGAAGACACCCACCACACAAAAATCACAGTATAATAAATATGAAGACACCCACCACACAAAAATAACAGTATAATAAACATAAAGAAACTGAAAATAACATACAGTATACTTACTACACTCAAAACGGTACACACACAAAAAACCCAGCTCAATGAATATGAGGACACCAAAATAACACACAGTAAAATAAACATGAAGACACCAAAAATAAGACACAGTATACAAACAATAGGACACCAAAAATAAGTCACGGTATACAAACATGAAGACACCAAAAATAAGACACAGTATACAAACATGAAGACACCAAAAAAAAGACATGGTATACAAACATGAAGACACCAAAAATAAGACATGGTATACAAACATGAAGACACCAAAAATAAGACACGGAATACAAACATGAAGACACCGAAAATAAGACATGGAATACAAACATGAAGACTCCAAAAAAAAGACATGGAATACAAACATGAAGACACCAAAAATAAGACATGGAATACAAACATGAGGAAACCAAAAATAAGACATGGTATACAAACATGAAGACACCAAAAATAAGACATGGTATACAAACATAAAGACACCAAAAATAAGACACGGTATACAAACATGAAGACACCAAAAAAGCATACAGTACAATAAACATAGAGACACCACAAAAACTACACAGTAAAATAAACATGAAGACACCACAAAAAGCACACAGTATAGTAAACATAAAGACACCACAAAAAGAACACAGTATAGTAAACATAAAGACACCACAAAAAAGCACACAGTATAGTAAACATGAAGACAACACAAACCAATAGCCAGTAGCTCCTCTTCTTCCATTTTAAGAGCATATTCTTCCTCCAGGAGCTGGTCAATATCCACATCATCTGGCAGATCTGTTCAACACCAAAGTTACAGAACAATTAAACCTAGCAGCTGGCCAATGTCCACATCATCTGGCAGATCTGTTCAACACCAAAGTCACAAAACAATTAAACCTAGCAACTGGCCAATGTCCCCATCATCTGGCAGATCTGTTCAACACCAATGTACAAAATAATTAAACCCAGCAGCTGCTCAATATCCACATCATCTGGCAGATCTGTTCAACATCAAAGTTACAAAACAATTAAACCCAGCAGCATTATAAAAAATATCACTTGCAGTCATAGTTTTCACAAACATCTTACAGCAAAATTGGGTGACTGACACAACTGCACCAGCAATAATAAAATTCCTGATGTAAGTAAGAATAAGAAATAGGACGGACATCTTTGTGTCTTTCCAGATGATAGTGTTATTAATAGTATTAATAAGAAATAACACAGTAACATTTAAAAAAAAAAGAACATAATAACCTAATATTTGATATAAGTAATAACAGAGTAAAGTAATACTTGATGTAATACCTCAAAATAATATTGAATGTAAGTAATAACACAATATCTAATGTAAGTAATAAAACAATCTAGTACCTGACATAAGTAACAGCACAAAATCTGATGAAAGTAATAACACAATACCTGATGTAAGTAATAACACAATACCTGATGTAAGTAAGAATACAATAACCTAATATCTGATGTAAGTAATAACACAATAACATAATACCTGATGCAAGTAAGAATACAATAACCTAATATCTGATGTAAGTAATAACACAAACAGGAATAGAGATATAAGTAGGATAATGATGACAGAGGTGATAAGTACAGAAAAGGACACTTTAACATGCCTTTAGGCATGTAAGGCTAGTAAGTATACACCTTTAACGTATAGGGCATATAGGGCTAGACCTACAATTTTATAGACCAATCGGCACAAGATGGTTGATGTGGTCAGCATCACGCCGGCGGCCTCTACTTCCCGGGACTGTACCCGGTACCCACTCAAGGCTGGGTCGACCTGATATAAGGCTAGACATATATTTTATGGACCAATCAAAAAAGAAAGACATGAAGATATAGGGAAAGACAGGACAATCTGATTTCTGTTCTTAAGAATTACAGATATCATGGAATACCTCTAGGTGCTCCAGTAAATGTTGCAAAGTATACTAAATGTCCCAGTAGCATACTGGCTGTAAACAAGTAAAGACATTACTTCCAGTACACTACAAGGAATCAGCTGGTTTAATACCAGTCTCAGAGGTCATCAAAAGATAGACAGTAAAATGATTTAAATATATAATACAACTACAAAAAACACAATGCTTCACTACATCCAATATCTTCTTGTGTGGATTCTGGAGCCCATTTTGGGAGGAAACAGAACAGATCCACTGTTTCTTAAGAAACCTTATAAAAGGGAACTAATGAAAGATTTGCTGAAATCAGATGTTTTGGGCCAAAAGGTGCAGATATCATAGCCTAGCTGTAAACCACAACACAACATGCAAATCACCATTTTAAGGGCAACAGAAGAAGAAGAAAAAGAAAAGTAATGAAGAGGAGGAAAAGAATCAATCCAAAACACTCAGACACAATGGAAAGAAAACAAAAGCCACCTCTGCTAAAGACTAGGGCTGTACCGATTAGTGGTTTTCACTATTTGGCCGAATACGAATTGTGGGACCAACTATTCGGCCGAATACGAATACGAATAGTGTATCATCATCATCAGGTGCCTCGCCGACTGGTGTGGCGATTTTGCCTCGCCACAATCTTCGATCTCCTGCAGCATGTATCAGTTTGTGTGCTGACACACCTTCATGACATGCAACGACTGTCAAGAATCTTCTCTCGTTGTCTTTTTCTATCACTCCTTCCGCAAATCTTTCCAGTGGTCACCACATGTTCCATTTTCACTCTTTCTATACGATGGCCGAAAAATGATGACTGACTTCTTCTGATGTCTGCGATTAGTTGTCGTCGGGCTCCCGCCTCTTTCAAAACCTAGTGGTTGCTTTTTTTAAGCTGCCAATGTATTTTAAGCATTGTTCTGTAAAACCACATCTCTGAGGCCTCAAAAAATTGTTTGGCCTGGCTACCGATTGTCCAGGACTCATAGCCATATGTTAAAACTGGATGTAAGTAGCAAGCAAGACAACGATATATTGCACAAGATGTTCTCTTTTTTTTATATAAAATGCAGTTTTTGCCTGTCCTATTTTGTTTTTTTTATTTTAGTAATGCATCTTTCATCTGATTTTATCCATGTGCCAAATTCACATTTAAATCATTTTTCGTTCAGGCGTTCGTTCGATGTAATTTAAATGCACCACCATATTCTCGTTTGCAATATCTTCAATTTGATTCGGGAAAAGACACCCCGAAAGAACAAAAAAATGCATGCTCTCTCTTTGTCTCTCTCTCTCTCTTTCTCTCTCTCTCACACACACACCCACACACCCTGATACACTTTCAAGTTTCCTTATGCCTTTTTTAACACAACAGTAGCGATGCCTAAATCTTTCGTAGCGGGAAAAACGGCGACCCTTTTTCGCGGTAACAGGCCTGACTCCGAGGCATTACAGCAGAGGTTCTAAAACTGGGTGCGTTTGACAGGGGTGCCGCGGCGAAAATCAAGAAAAGTCGGCTATAAATTGTGACATTATTAATGAGAGAGTTATTTTAGTCCATCACAGTGTATGCAGAAATCGCTATTCGTATTCGGCCCGACCGCCACTATTCGGCCGAATACCGAATAGCTAGTAGGTCCACTATTCGGCCCCGAAGCGAATACGAAGCGAATATTCGGTACACCCTGCTAAAGACAGATAAAAAGCATCACTGAAACAAACAAAAACAGTACTGTGTGTATGATATTTATGAACTCATTAAAGAACTCTACTCATAATTCAGACAAATAGAAAAAGTGAAGAAGATGAAGAACTAAACACAATGACATGGCCATAATAACAGACATAGTAACCACACTAGCAAGTACAATAATGAACACAGTATCAGACATCAATAATGAACAAAAAAACGACAGATATATTACAAGTATCATGTGAACATTCAGTAACCACACTAGCAAGTACAATAATGAACACAGTATTAGACATCAGTAATGAACAAAACAATAACAGATTACAACTATCAAGTGAACATTCAGACAATATAACCTGCATCTTACCTTCTAGATCCTTCTGCTTCTTTGCCTTTTTCTCACCCAACAGCTCCTGCTCAAGTTCTCTTAGCTCCTCTGACTTGCGAATGTTTTCTCGAAGTGCTTCCACATCCTCCTCCACACGTCTCGGCTTGGGTATCTCCGCCTTCATCGGCTGCAGAAGGGCTGTGGACATGAATGGTGGATTCGGAGCTTTCCTGTACTCATACTCCATTTTAGTTGGTTTTGGTTTGGCCTTTACTTCTGTAGTTGAAGGTTCAGTTTTATCAGGTTCTTGTGTGCCCTCTACTCTAACTGTAGTTGTTTCTTGTACTTGTTTGACTTCTTCATTTTTTACTTCTTCTAATTCCTCTTGTTTGGTTTCACTAACAGGCTCCTCAGCTCTGACTTCTGTTTGCTCCACTTTGTTATTTTGTTCCTTTTCCTTCTACACTTGAATCATCCTTTTGGAAACTCTCAGCAACTTTTTCTCTCTCACTTGTGTCTTCAACCGACTCCTTTGTTTTGTTTATCTGTGGTAGCTCTTTAACAGTATCTGCCGATACTTTTCCAATCTCAGCCTCTACTGCCAATTCCTCCTTTATATTCCCTGCTGCTTTAACTTGGTCAGTTTCTTCAACAGCATAAACTTCTCTCTCTTCTGCTACATTAGCTTGTTCTGTCTCCTGTGAAATCTCTTTGGCAATCTCTGCAGTCTCAGTTTTAACCTCCTCCTGCTGCTTGCTTCCCTCTTCTACTTCTTTCTCATCCTCTGTTTTATTTATTTCTCCTACTTCTGGAGCTTGATCTGTTACTGTACTTTCAACAAATTTGACCCCTTTCTTTGCTTCATGAGACATTTCAGGTTCCCCAACCTCTTTCTCTTCAGGCTGCTTTTCAACAACTGCAGCCACTGTTGTAACAGTGACAGCACTGGGAGCAGGTCGCAAATCCAGCTGCAACTCTTCTGGTGCACTCAGTGAAGGAATTGAAGCTGTAGACAGTCTCTTGGAATCAATGTTTGTTCTCCTCCGTTCACCCATTTCTACATTTTTCTTGGCCATTTTGATCTGTTAAAAAAAGCAGACAACAAATTACAAAACTTGAAATGTTAATGCAGAACCTGCCTAGTGTAAAATGCACAATATGAATTAACAAAAATGAGTACAAACAAAAAAAAGAAAAAAATTATATTTGAATTGATAAACAAAATGAAGGTTTCTGATGAATTGTGAAGAAAACCTAAGTATTGTAAATTTTAAAAAACCCATCGAAGTTACGGAAATTTTAAAAATCCTGCCTGTTATGCAAATTTTAAAAATCCCGCTAAGTTATGCAAATTTTAAAAATCCCGCTAAGTTATGCAAATTTTAAAAATCCCGCTAAGTTTTGCAAATTTTAAAAATCCCGCTAAGTTTTGCAAATTTTAAAAATCCCGCTAAGTTTTGCAAATTTTAAAAATCCCGCTAAGTTATGCAAATTTTAAAAATCCCATAGCAGCTGGAAAGTGCAAAGAGTAGGCTATAATTTCCCTATCCAGAAGAAAACAAAGACAGAAGAAAAAGAAAAAAAAAAGACAGAAACGAAGAAGAAAAAGAGGAGAATAGGAAGGAACTAAAAGTAAGTCAAAGATAAGGAAATAGAGGAGGATCAAGTTGGGAAGAAAAATAATGAGAAAGTGAAAATGAAAGAAAAGGGAGGGAAAATTAAGAAGATTAGAAGAAAGAAGAGGAAAAATAAGAAAGAGGATACAGAACAAAATGATGTAAGAAAAGTGTCAATATAAGACTTTTAAGCATTCTATAGATTGGTATTGAGATGATCTGCATGTTCCCAGCCCTCTGTTTCCACCAAATGTCCACCATGCTCACATGACACTTGGTGTGACATTGACCATATCTCTGGTCAATATGGTAGATAGGCAGGCCTACTGTTGACTGCCTGGTGTGACACAGTGAGCTGCGAATTTCATTTGGAATTCTTTTTTGAAAATGCTCTGGCTGGTTTGTGTTGTGAACTGAATATTGAGCTAATGGTCTGTGGTCTTGTTGCCACAGAAGTGGTGGCACTTTATGCGATCAATTGCATGTGCAACTACTGATCTGTTGTAACAGCTGCTTCTATTGAGTATGAACTGCATCTCTAGTGCCGGACTGTTTGTGTTGGCATTTCTGACAGGTGCCTTATGCATTTAATGCATGTGTATGCTAGCTTTGCTGAGACTTTTTTTTTTCAAAAAGGACAATGGCTGACATTCTGTGTGGTTTTCACATTCTGTGTGGTTTTCACTGGCAGAGGATTGAAAATTGGGCAGAGAAATTAGCTCGAGATGTGCCAAAGCTAATCAGGTAATGGAGCAACTATCTCCCCTGTTGACACACAAGCAGATACCCCGGAGTACTAAAGTAAATCTTATCAGAACTATTTTTTTGGGCCATACTATGCTATCAGTGCCATACGTGGACACTCACATCCTCTAATGAACGTAACGTTGCGACAACAGAGATGAAATGCCTTAGGAGAGCTGCAGGAGTTTCAAGGAAAGACAGAATACAAAAAAACGAATTTAGACGAATGCTAGGAATAAAGCCAGTCTTACAAGTCATCAAAGAGCAACAAATGAAGTGGTTTGGACACCTCAGAAGAATGCCCTGGTACTATTTGCCACAGCAAGCCACACTAAAAAGATATAACGAGTATAGGGCGAGTGAAAGACTTTAGAAAATATGGAGTGATGGCATTAAGTACTGCCTTACAGAAATGAACATCAGTCTTAATAGTGCTCTTGACAGAGCTCATCAACGAATGTTACCTCCCACAAGGAGTGACACTGCGCTGAGGTACAAGGTGGAATAGAAGAAGAAGAAGAGGAAATGGAGCAGCAAGAGGTGACCCATCTGCTATGAAGTTGGAACTCTGATTACCTGATTATTTTACTCACCAAGTGCCAGTTGATCTATGACAATATCAGTCTAACATCATTTCAAAATGTCCCACTGGCCTAACTAGGATCCTTAACTTTTCTCTTCAATTACACAAGACTTTAACAGGAAGAGTTGGTACTATACTTAAACAGCAATATACAGTTGGTAACAAACAAAACAAAAATAGAGAGAAGGTATATTAAGAGAAAACATACAGTAAGTCATACAGCAAGAGATAAGACTTACACAATAATACACTGACACTGAGTACCTTGAGACACACAGAAGGATAGCTAAAAAGATCCAGCATTGCCAAAAGATCATCTGGGATTAGCATACCTTTCTCTTCAGCTGTGTCACCACTCTCTGTACCTCCCACAATTGCTCTTCAATGACTGGGTCCTTCCGGCCAGAGTTCAATTCTGTATGTAACTGGTTCAGCAGTGACTCCTGGTTATCAACCACAAAAAACAATATCAACAATGGCTGACTAGAAATGTAAAGATTTGTGTTTTTATTGAGAAAAGAATCTAACGAGAAAGTTTACAGATACAACCCACAAAAGCAATGCTTGTTTGTTTCTCTCCATGCAGCAAAATCTGGAATCATTTTACCCTAATGCCATCTTTTGTTTCATTTAATTCATGAGTAATGTTACAGATCTTCAAAAGATTTCACCTAAAGTCACCCTATTTTGTTTCCATGATTAACTATAAACAATGTGAAAGACATTTATCAATTTCATCTATGAGTCACGCTAATTTCTTCCATTTATTTCATGCTCAAGTGCACCTCTGTGGTTTAGTGGTAAGTGAGCAAGTTTTAAAATTTCAGGTGCCAGGGTTCATTTTTTCGTGGAGAACAATTTTGGAGGGAGAAAAAACCCATCTTCCTGGCATGTGGACAGTCTCTGAGTGAAGGTGGAATACTCGTAATACTCTCACAAAAAGCAGTGAGTGCCCATATCCTGGGCAGCCAACCTCCATTTTAGAGACAGCACCCAAAATAAAAATGTACTGACCTTCAACCATCTCACTTATCTTTATCTAAGTTTTTTTCTGCTTATGTCAAATATCCATTAATTATTAACAAAGCTCCATACTAAATTCATAGATATCCATATTTGCTCCAAAATAACTATCTAACTTAAGGGTTTCTCTGGTATTTCTCAGATGTATTCTCAAAGTTGAATACTGTAAAATTTCACCTAACACATAATTTGCTGCGCACAAAAAATTTGTTTCCATTTTACTCATTTTTAGCTGTATGATACATAGAGTGTATATTTACAGCTGACTATATGTATAATGTGCAGCCAGTGGTGTGTGCTGGTTGTTTGGTATATGTGTGGTATGTGCTGGTTATGCCATATGTTATGTGTGGTATGTGCTGGTTGTGTGGTGTGTGTTAGTTGTGTAGTTATTGTGTGTGGTGCCTCTGCAGGATCGTATCTTACCCAAATTATTACATGTTAAGTTATAGGCAATATGAGGCTGTCCTGTGCAGTCACAGATTTTAGGTACAGATTTCGAAGCAAATTTTCCAATTAAAATTCTCAGGACTGTTTTTCTTTTTTAAATTAAATTTCGGAGGAACTAGTTTATTCAGCTAAACTTGTGAAAATCGTTTTTAAAAAAAACTTTGATTTAGTTGGTGATCATTATAATTTCATCTGCTTTTCATTTAGTGTAACAAAAATTTCTTTAAAGGGCTATACAGGTATTTATTTTCTGTTAAATATCCTCATCACGTCCCTCTCATCACGTCTCTCTCATGCGGCCCTGCCTGAAAGAAACTCAGTCTCTTGCAGCTCTCCCGCCTTGTGTACTTTCATATTCAAGGAGTCACTTATGTCCTGAGCCCATCTTGGTGTTGGTTGGCCCCTGCCCCTCCTTCCTGGTACCATGCCTTCCGATATCATTTTAACCAATCCACCATGTCAGATAATATGACCAAAATATTTCAGCTTCTGAGAAGGAATGCTGTTTATTACCAATCTTTCTTGAAGTTCGGATCTTTTAAAATGTCAGTATTTCTTATATTCTTTGTTTATGGTATTCTGTGAATCTTTCTATAGCATTTCAGCTCAAAAGCCCATATTTTCTTTCTTAAGGACTGGGAAATAGTCCACATCTCATATCTGTATGTTGCTGTTTTAATTTTGATTTCCTTACTGGTGCTTAACCATAGATTTTCGATGCTGTTTAATCTTTGCATTGCTATGGCCATCATCTTTTGATTTCTGTCAAATTGTCTCCACTGCTTTCTATTTTAGAGCCTTGATATCCAAAGTTTGCAAAATTTCAATTTCTTCATCATTTATTTTTTTTTTTTTGGGTGACAGCCTGTTTTGTCTGTGGACATTATTTTTCTTTTCTTTTAAATTTGAGAAGAAGTTTTGATCTTCACTGTTGTTTTTTTGGGGGGGTCGGGGGTGGGGGGGAGGGGGTGGGGGACAGACATGATATAGAATACACAACCACACAAAATCCAGCACTTTCACAATTCCAAAACTCTTTAGGTTTGCTGCCGGACATTATAATGTCAACATGTACTGGCACATAGTATTGCTGCACAGATACACAAGTGATTGGTCTCACCTAAAAATATATATGAAAGCTGATTGTTCAGGAAAGTCAATACCATAGCAATTTAACCATAGAAAAGTACCTAGAACAGATAAAAACAAGACTGTAGACAGCTCATAATATACAGAAAAGAAACGGATTGCAGAATGCATAAGAGGAGGCAATGTAACAGAATATATGAGATAAACTAGCATAAGTTACTGAACAAATAAAGACAAAAGCAGGAATTTAAAAAATACAAATAAATTTACAATACTTATGTTTGTGCAAGATGAGTACAGATCCTTCTGTTGGAAAACTGAAAGTATGACTTAAATTTCACCACACAAAAATGAGAAAATAAATTCACTACACACAGTGACAACATATATATATATATATATATATATTTATCCCCATTATAAAATTGAAAGACTGAACTAGATAATCACCTCATGAGGGCTCCATTCCCTTCCCCATTAAGAATATCATAAAAGGCAAATGATTAGGAGTTTTTAAATCAGTTGTGTTGAACCAAATGTGCACTATTGCAGCCTAGACGTAAACCACAACATAGCATACCAACCTGCCTTCTAAGGGTGAAATCAAAAGAAGACAAAGAAGATGGAGAAAAATAAAAACAGTACTAATCTTTGTTTAGGCAGAGAAGAAGATGATGAAGAAGACAAAGAAAAAGAAGAAAAATAGTATAAATATTTGTGGGGGGGGGGGGGGGGGGGGGTTGGAGAAAAGTAACAGACAGTACAACAGAGACCAAGCAACAGATTTCATCACCTGCTTAGCAAGCTCCTCCTCCAGTGCTGAAGGGTTGTCTGGGAGCTCTAAAGTCCACTTGGAGTGGGCCGGTTTCAGTGGTGGCACATATCTGGATTAACAGAGTTAAACAAGTGATAAGAAAACTACACAAGTCTGATTTTTTCTTGGATACTTTGACCGCGGACACTTCCACCCACTCCTCTCCTCGCCCAAATTTATCAAGCCTGCACAAATGTCTAATTGTGTTTTCAGCTTGCGCCATCCAACACCTTCCTCTTTTTTAGTCTGTGCCCCTTAGCTCTATAAAGGGCTTCATGCAGGAGGTGCTTCTTGTTTGCAGCTACTCTGAGACATGACTTTGCTTGCACGACCTCAGGCCTAACTGCAAAAATAGGCAGTGCAAGTATATATTGCATACATACTATCGGTGTGTCTCTTGCTTCATTCTGCATGCATTCAAGTTACATCAGCTGACTCTTTGATTAGATAGTTGTCCACCCAATCCTCGGATACTAAAGCTGTTCTGATGCTCTGATTGAAGTGAAAAACCAACTCTCTCAAGTCTTCATCACTCATGCTTTGCCCTGGAGAAAAGCTCCAAAGGATGTTATCTACCCTAGACCTCTGAAGTAATGCTTGCTGCTCAGCAAAAAGCATGCCTTCTTTTAGACTGTGGTGCATGCACTGATTATGATGAAAACAATGACATAACAGAATCAACTAATCTGAGCTCAGATAAACAGCTAAACTAAAAGATAAAATCACTCATATGAGCTAATGTAAAGAAGCAAACAAATTCAAGTGCTTAATTCTACAATATACAGAACGATAGAACACTAGGTATATAATTTATCACAGATACTTCAAATGATTTGTGAACCTGCATCGTGGAGGATTTTTATATAACCTGACTCTGCTCCTAAATCAACCCAGCCCAAAAAGGGTACCAGACAATGTTACAGGAAGTAAAGCCAGCAGGCACGACGCTGACCAGATCCTCCTTCTAATGCTGATATTTGCATAAAAATAAAGGTTTAGTACCATATGCTGAATGTGACAATGGCGTAAAAAGGAGACAATTACAGTAATTTTACTACTTCTTTGTGCACGATTCTATGTAAATTTTAATGAAGGTGAAGGTTCATTTTCTGAGACATCTTGAATAGATGTGTTCAGTTGAGTTAAGAACCAACAACACAGAACTGTGGACATTCCCAAAAGCAATCCATTCTCCTCTTCAGCAACCATCAAAAAGTTCTAATTTCAATGTTACCAGTTCATTAGTCTTTGCCTTTCCTCTGAGTGTAGAGTGTCGACCTGGTTAGTCCTAGATGTGCTTTTCTCTCCAGCCATAATGATTTATTCCTGCATGTTTTCATAGCCTTGTTCTTGCATGATCACCTAGGACAGTCCATTTTGTGTGCACAACTGGGTAACAAAAACCAGGGCAGTAGCTGTGTCTTATCACGGATCCTGATTGCCATTCTAGGTGACCTTTTGTCATTTATACACATCTCTTCTGCATCCACCATAGCTTCTGAAAGGGCATTCCATTCTTCACTTTTCCCCAGTATTGTCCCACGCTCTGAAATCTCTGTAAATGAGCAGCCTATTACCCAGATTTCTCCAAATTCTTGAACCACTCCAAGTGTTCTTTTGTGATAAGAAAGTCTACAGCAGTAGCGTATGCATTTACTACATTCCAGGTTGTGCCACCGGTTTCTATCCATATATCCTGAACCTTCACTACATTATGATTCCACTGACCCACATCAAATAATACATGCTGCACACTCTTCTTCCCCAGCTGACCCTTCCTGTATCTCCCCTGTCTTGAACAAAAGAAACAAAAAAAGTACTAAAGGCAGTGAATTTTTTATTAATTCAATTATAATTAATTCTATTACCAAACTGATGTATCATCTCAATAATAAGATCATGATTACCAATTTGAACAGTGATTTTATTGAAGTACTCTTTCAATCATCATTGTCAAATTCCACTTTTGCCATTAAGCTGACTTTTTTGGAGGATTAATTTGCAGTCTAAAACTCGATGGATAGCACTACCTATTTTCATTCAATGTGGATGCAGAAGGTCTGTAATTTCATCAATCCATCTGTTTCTTGGGTGCCCTCTTGCTCTTATATCAGATGTTTCTTAGGTGTAGTGCTTTTCTTAGATATTAAATTTCTGTGTTTCTCCACATTGTAACATGACGACCAAACTATTTTGATCTATTTCTTGATGAATTTGGTGCAAAGTGTTGTTCCTACAGTAAATAATCGAAATCAGGATAATGAATGCATTCAATATTATTTCAGTGATAACGTCAGGAAAGCAAATGTAAACAATGATTGGTGCAGAAACACTCTAACATCTGTTTAACATATCAGATACAGAACTCAGTACACACATTTTGACACATACTTACTTGCGGAGAAGCACATCTCCAAAGAGAGTTGAGACATTGGAAAACAAGACATTCAGCACTCTGTGGCTTATCTGCATCGTGGGACTCAGCACAATGCTCACATTCTGTAGGGTCATTTTGTTTTCTTGGGCCTGTTGGAAATTTAATTAACAACTTCAATGGCTATTTAAAAGATATTTTTCTTAATAGACCTGCAAACACTTGGTGTCACCAGCTGGAAAGAAAAGGTCAACTATAGAGATGAGTGAAGGTGGGTGATGTCTGCAGCAATGAACCTCAAGGGCTCGGAATGCTGAAGAAGAAGAAGATATTCAGACCTTAAACTGGATGAATTTAATATAAGCATCACTCATCTGATTAGTTATAGTAAAATGAATTTTAGTCACTGTGACTGGATGGGATATAGAGGTGAACCACCAGCTGTGGTGATGCAACAGGACCAGGATTCTAAACTGGTCAAAAACTATCTACATTTCTTAACGGTCATTCTAGAAACATGCTTCATTCCAGGTGTTTGGTCAGTATAGATAGAACTGATCATTCCTTTGAAATGGGAGCACATCGGCTGAGAAACAAGGAGCCATCAGCACACAAATAAGCTAGATTTGTAAAACAGATGATCATGAGACATGCAAGTCTTAGAATAAGACCAAAGACCAGGTATGGACAAACAACTAGGATTTTTCAGCAAATTTCACAGCTGGCAAAACTCAGAAGTTGAACAAGGAGAATGACTGAATGGACATCATGTTCTAAACATAGCAAAACTTTTAGCTACTTTCAGCTAAAAGTCCCTAGGTAAACTCCTTATATTCTGACACAATGACTGCTATGACTGTGCACAAACTAGATCAACAACAGAGAACAAACACTGCTATAACTGTGCACATACTAGATCAACAACAGAACAAACACTGCTATGACTGTGCACACACTAGATCAACGACAGAGAACAAACACTGCTATGACTGTGCACACACTAGATAGATCAACGACAGAGAACAAACACCGCTATGACTGTGCACACACTAGATCAACGACAGAGAACAAACACCGCTATGACTGTGCACACACTAGATTAATGAAAGAGAACAAACACTCTATGACTGTGCACACACTAGATCAACAACAGAGAACAAACACTGCTATGACTGTGCACACACTAGATCAACAACAGAGAACAAACACTGCTATGACTGTGCACACACTAGATCAACGACAGAGAACAAACACTGCTATGACTGTGCACACACTAGATCAACAACAGAGAACAAACACTGCTATGACTGTGCACACACTAGATCAACGACAGAGAACAAACACAGAACAAACACTGCTATGACTGTGCACACACTAGATCAACAACAGAGAAGAAACACTGCTATGACTGTGCACACACTAGATCAACAACAGAGAACAAACACCGCTATGACTGTGCACACACTAGATCAACAACAGAGAACAAACACTGCTATGACTGTGCACACACTAGATCAACAACAGAGAACAAACACTGCTATGACTGTGCACACACTAGATCAACAACAGAGAACAAACACTGCTATGACTGTGCACACACTAGATCAATGACAGAGAACAAACACTGCTATGACTGTGCACACACTAGATCAACAACAGAGAACAAACACTGCTATGACTGTACACACACTAGATCAATGACAGAGAACAAACACTGCTATGACTGTGCACACACTAGATCAACTACAGAGAATAAACACCGCTATGACTGTGCACACACTAGATCAACAACAGAGAACAAACACTGCTATGACTGTACACACAACATTAATTACAAACTGTTATGACTGTATACACACCAAGTCAATGACATGAGTCATGTGTACAATCATCCAGCTGAGAAGAAGCCTGTTGCAGGTTGGCAGGTCAGCTATAAGTCTGGTAAATGCCTCCACCTTTTTCTTGTTGTTCTTGATTGCTGAAATATAAGATTTAATCAACCTGGTGATATTCTAATAAGTATTGGTGTATGAAGTATGAATATGGAGAATGATTAAAAACAGGTGCCATCATCCATGAATTAGTGTATGTGCACAACAGATGGATAAGATGATAATTACAGAACCTATAATAGGGATATCATAGAGAAGAAAAGGCAACTGTCACTGAAAAAGACAGTGCAAACATCCTATAATAACTAGACATATAACTAGAATGTCCCTGCATCAGAACCCACAAAGCCAGAGAAAGAGAAAAGACCCCCCCCCCCCCCCCCCCCCCCCCCCCCCCAGCCCCATATCACAAGAAAGGAAACTTATTACATGAAATGCATGTGAAAACTCAGTTTTTCAACACCGCTCTGGATTTAATTGATAAAGAAACACCAAATAAAATGGTTCAGACGTTTGAAAATGGTCTTCTGCTTTTGCAGCTGCCTTTTACTGCCACGTTTGTTCAAGGGCAGCAGGTCTAACTTAACCAGCCATCACTGTGTACCTACAGCTGAAGGTCTGGCTCTAGAGACACAGGAAAGCCAAAAATACTGTGGACAAGAACACAGCAGCCCAGATGCTACATAGGTTAGTTGCGTATCCTTTACAGAACGTTGCAGAACCAACCCCTGGCTGTTGTGTGGTTTATCTAGGCAAATTTACGTCCAGTAGTTTGCTATTGCTTTCTGGACGGTCGGCTTTTTTTATACCACTGTCGAAACCAACGCAAGGCACATGGCCCGCAGCTGGGATCGAACCCAGGCATCCCGGCATTACGAAGCGTTCGCATCGACTTAGCCACAGAGCCGACAGATGCTACATATTCAGCTCAAATTAGAAAGTTTCAACTATCTCCCTCACTTAACAACATATCACTTAGCATATAGGTTACAAGCAATCATCCGTGTGCGAATAAAGAATAGATAGCAGGAAGATGAATTATACTGCCACATATGATAAGTATAAGCAAACAAGTACTGTCACATGTGTGTGTGTGTGTCCACATGGATGTACATGTGTATTTTTTTCCTTATGCCAAAACCTGTAACTACCAGGTAATCTTATCTATCACATAATGTAAACACGATTGTGCTGCACAGAACTTGATATTTTCAAGACTAGTGTTTCCACTTGTTTTACAACACTCTCAATAGGGTATGTTGAATGAATGTTAATATACTGCTTACTTGAAGCCTCCTCAAACTTTGGCATAAGTGCTGTAGTCAGAACTGGTTCAGGCAAGTCTCGCAGGAACTGCTTGAGTAGGCTGGCCACAACGTTAGGTTCATGCTCATAGAGGTAGACTGGCTGCTGGCGGTTGTAGCAGTCCTTCAAGTGCTGCACTTTAGACTTGACACCAGAGATTCGATAAATTCCTTCACGAGCAAGACCTGATGTGACAAATACCAAACAGTGGCATGCTCCTCAGTGAGTCAACACATTCTAACGTTTAAAATGCATACATCCCTGTGTGGGTTATGGGGGATGGAAAAAAAGAATACACCCACTGCCCCCCATCCCCCACCCAATTAAAGGATGTGACAAAGGGTGACTAATTAGAGGTTTTCCTTCAAAGTCACGAGTACATCTGCCTGACAGATGAAGAACCAGTGTGCACAGCCTGATCGTAAACAGAAGCGCAATTTTACAGGGAAACGGTACTAACTCAATGTGTCAGTTTTGTGACTTTTCAGGGCAAAAAGGTTAACCCTGTCACCCCAAGACAGTCATTTTTCCGACATTTATGGGTTCTGATGACATGAAGTCTTTGGGCAGTGGCCACTAAACCTTTACAACAGTTTTGGTTCTGGCTTTAACTACATGATGTCTACGACAAAACAATTTTTAGATATTATTAACTCATTGAGTCCCAGGGGGTTTAGCAACAGAGGCCCAAGGGGTGGTGATGCAATTTTGAAATGTTGAAAGTCTAACACAGAGAGATCGAAGCAAGAATCCAACAAGCCAACAATGTCGCATACCAGCTTGCCCCAATTTTAAAACACCCTGCTGTTCCAGCTGAGATAAAAAGACAAATTATAAATACAATCTTTATACCGACATTAGGTTATCAATGTCAGACTTGGACATTAACAAAAGAACACGAGAGAAGACTAACCACCTGTGAAATGAGATGTTTGAGAATGGCTGCGAATAAAACCAGAAGAGATCGAGTGAGAAACGATGTGATTACAAGAACTATTGGAACCATACCTATCGTTAAATTTATTGAGAAGCAAAGAATGAAATGGTTTGGTCACCTAATGAGAATGGAACCAACGATGCCAGCATCAAGAGCATACAACATGAAAATCAAAACACCAAGAGGCAGGGGAAGACCAAGAAGAAGATGGATTGAAGGAGTCACGGACAATTTGAGACTTCATAACATCACGGCATATGAAGCGACTGAGCGCGCCCTGGCTCGGTTGCCGATCATCTGATAGACTGCGACGCCTAGCAGCACAAGCAGATTTTGTCAAAAGAAGAAAGAAGAAGAAAGTCTAACATTAAAACAGATCATACTAATTCAAATGCCGCGCAACAGACACATATTATACATCAAAATGACCAGGGATTGTTGAGGAATCATATTAGAATACTGCTACAAAAATAAACCGTGTTATTAGTTAATTATTAGTAAATAAACAGATTGTATGTTAAGAGAAATCAGTAAAATGAAATAATAATTTTTCCACTTACCACCATGGCACTCAAAGAAAACTTGATAAAATATATCCAAAATAAATCACTAATGAAAATGAATCACTTAGTAACATATAAACAAAAATGTTAACCCAATCTGTCCATTAGATGTCACTGCAGAGAAACTTTCAGAACATCATAACAAAGCATACATTTTTTTTTTGGGGGGGGGGGGGGGGAAGAAAAAATTACTTCTGAAAACATTTAGTATTTTAAAATTTTTTTTTTTAAACTTACTTTATGTAAGACTCAATGTGCCCATAATGTTATAGCCTTTGTTAAAAAATAACAAGGGTTTTGCACCAGACCTACCCGATACTAAAAAATATTGCCCTTTTTCACTGATATTTATTCTCTTTGTACCAGCTGACTTTGTTATCAATGTACGCTTTGCTTGAGGTATATATCAAAGATATCCCTAAGCAAAGTTTGATCTGTCAATGACTGAAACAAATCTACTTTGTAACTTTCTTTGTCAAACTTCAGATAAATCTGATAAATGTGTGTTTTATTTAAATGTGAGGCTTCTAAAGCCATAAATCTTGTTGGCATGCAAGAAGAAGTATGCTCAGAGGCCATACTGTTTTCACAGTGACATTCAGTATTCAGTAAGGCTTACAAACATGCTTTATTTTACACTTTAACCACATTTTCAAACAAACCTAATGGTCAAAATGTGTGACATCGAATACATAAACCAGGAAATACATTTAAAACTGCCAGCCTGCACTGTTATACTGGTCAGTGGTAAATTTTTAAAAAAACCGTACGCGTCACAAGCCGGCTGGGTGGTTGGGTGGGAACCGATTAGTGCATGATGTGTACCTTGAGAGTCCAAGAGTTTAGAGTTTGAAATAAACAAATAAAAACATGTTGTTAAACTAATGAAATAATTACATCATAATAATCTCATACAATGTCACTTTGATCATCATGACCAAGTCTACTAAGTCTATAAAACCATGTTTACCACATCAATTGGAAGAAAAGCAGTTAATTCTTTGCTCTGTTTGTATTAATTAATTCATTCCTTTACTGAAAAATGTATTTTTGCACGCAACAAATGTTAATTAAAATTAATACAAATGAGTATATTGATTTGATGGCGGAATGTAGCTATGCAATTCAAACTAGCCTTTCTGCTCAGTGGTTTGACTCCCTGGATGTTTATAAAAAATTGCCCAAGACTTGAAATATTTTTTGCTTCTTCTTCTCTTCTTATAGTTTCTTAGGGTAGAGTTTTAGAGAATCATGTCCTTTTAACAAAATTTTAAAACAAAAAAGGTAATATGTTAAGATTTTGTAGGAGACAAAAGGGTTCGAGACATGAGGTTGTGATGCAATACAATATATCTGCAAAAAGAGGAAAAGGATAATGATTCTGAGATAAATGAAGAACACAGTGGAATTATACCATCAGAGAACTTCTACAACAGTATCCAGCCTCTGTGGTCAAGGCAGCCATAAAAAGCCTAACCCTGTGTCTCTTTCAATGTTTGTAGCTATTGAAAAAAGAAAAGTTCAAGAAGAGAGGAAAGAACAGTTTCTTTTTTAATTACTATGTTTTTATTTTCAATTGAAATGTTTTTCTTTTAATGATCATGATAGTAGGCACCCTTCCAACTGGATAGTTTGTTCTGATAACAATATTTCATTCAATAAGACTAGAGGGTCCTTCTGATCACTATATTTCATGCACTTAGATTAGACGGCTCCTGATCACCATATTTCATTGAATTAGACTAGACAGTTTGTTCTGATTATCATATTTCATAAAATTAGACTAGACTGTTTGTTCTCATCACCATATTTCATTCAATTAAGTCTACAGTTTGTTCTGATCACCACATTTCATTCAATTAGACTAGACAGTTTGTTCTCATCACCATATTTCATTCAATTAAGTCTACAGTGTGTTCTGATCCCCACATATCATTCAATTAGACTAGACAGTTTGTTCTCATCACCATATTTCATTCAATTAAGTCTACAGTTTGTTCTGATCACCACATTTCATTTAATTAGACTAGACAGTTTGTTCTGATCACCACATTTCATTCAATTAGACTAGACAGTTTGTTCTGATCACCATATTTCATTCAATTAGACTAGACAGTTTGTTCTGATCACCACATATCATTCAATTAGACTAGACAGTTTGTTCTGATCACCACATATCATTCAATTAGACTAAGTTTGTTCTCATCACCATATTTCATTCAATTAAGTCTACAGTTTGTTCTGATCACCACATTTCATTCAATTAAGTCTACAGTGTGTTCTGATCACCACATTTCATTCAATTAGACTAGACAGTTTGTTCTGATCACCACATTTCATTCAATTAGACTAGACAGTTTGTTCTGATCACCACATATCATTCAATTAGACTAGACAGTTTGTTCTCATCACCATATTTCATTCAATTAAGTCTACAGTTTGTTCTGATCACCACATTTCATTCAATTAGACTAGACAGTTTGTTCTGACCACCACATTTCATTCAATTAGACTAGACAGTTTGTTCTCATCACCACATTTAATTTCATTAGACTAGACAGTTTGTTCTGATCACCACATATCATTCAATTAGACTAGACAGTTTGTTTTCATCACCATATTTCATTCAATTAAGTCTACAGTTTGTTCTGATCACCACATTTCATTTAATTAGACTAGACAGTTTGTTCTGACCACCACATATCATTCAATTAGACTAGACAGTTTGTTCTGACCACCACATTTCATTCAATTAGACTAGACAGTTTGTTCTGATCACCACATTTCATTCAATTAGACTAGACAGTTTGTTCTGATCACCACATATCATTCAATTAGACTAGACAGTTTGTTCTCATCACCATATTTCTTCAATTAGACTAGACAGTTTGTTCTGACCACCACATTTCATTCAATTAGACTAGACAGTTTGTTCTCATCACCACATTTCATTCAATTAGACTAGACAGTTTGTTCTGATCACCACATTTAATTTCATAATCTTCAATTAGACTAGACAGTTTTGTTTTTGATCATCAACACAATAGTTCTGCACCTTCAATTAGACTAGACAGTTTGTTTTCATCACCATATTTCATTCAATTAAGTCTACAGTTTGTTCTGATCACCACATTTCATTTAATTAGACTAGACAGTTTGTTCTGACCACCACATATCATTCAATTAGACTAGACAGTTTGTTCTGACCACCACATTTCATTCAATTAGACTAGACAGTTTGTTCTGATCACCAAATTTCATTCAATTAGACTAGACAGTTTGTTCTGATCACCACATATCATTCAATTAGACTAGACAGTTTGTTCTCATCACCAGAGTCTTTCAAGAGACTAGACAGTTTGTGCGGAATCACACATTTCATTCAATTAGACTAGACAGTTTGTTCTGATCACCACATTTTATTCAATTAGACTAGACAGTTTGTTCTGATCACCACATTTTATTCAATTAGACTAGACAGTTTGTTCTGATCACCGCATTTTATTCAATTAGACTAGACAGTTTGTTCTGACCACCATATTTCATTCAATTATACTAGATGGATCCTGATCACCATAGTTCCAGTATGAGTGAAGCTACATGTTCCTCCTGCTGCACATAATGTTAGTGATGAACAGAACTGCTTACCACATTCTTCTATATAGTCAATGCATTCTCTGACAAT